TCTCAGACAACATTTTGTGTCGAGAAGAATCGATAAGTTGCTTTAACAGAAAAAGAACTGTTTTAATAACCGACCAAATGCTAAGTTTTTTCTTTTTAGTTTTTTTTTCTTGCTCTTACTTATCTTTTTTCTGGACTGTTGGGTTCTCTTACGAGATGAAACGTCGACAAAGAAAGATTGCTATTACCAAAACAAGATATAAATCTTCTATGGTCACATGTTTTTTTATGGGTTAAAACTGTTGTTTTCTTTACAAATTAATACTTTTTGAGTCGCGTAATTAAAATTACAACCGATCTCTTTCAGTTTCTTATACGTCTCACGTCTTTCTCCACCAAAGAAACGCTTACGAGAAGAATAAAAGAAGAGTTTTTTTCCTCTCCTGTTCTTAAGATTAAGGAAGATGTAGAGAAAAGTTAATCTCTACAGTTCTTTCTTCAACTTTCCAGCTTGCAGAAATCGAGTCAGAAAAAGTCTAGAGAGGTAAATCTTTCTCCATCTTTTCTTAAGTTTATCTTAAGTTTAAGGAAGATGTCAAAATCTTAATCTCTTGTAGATTTTTTCCACGTGTTCCTCAGACGTAAAAATTTACATTTAGGGTAATTATGACGTTGTATAGAAGTTAGAGAACAAGACTTTTCTCAATACATGCTCCAAAACCGGAAAGAAAAAGCGATTAAATTCGTAAAATATCTAAAATTCACTTGATTTATTTTCAAAGAAAAGTTAATACTTTAAACACTCCGGGTAGAAGCAAAATTTTATCAAAAAAATAATAAAAAGAAAAATGTTTGAGTGCTTAAAAAAAGCCATTTAAAAATTTTTCCTGTTGCCAGCATCCAAGGAGCATGCGTGTTAGAGGGATGGACGAAGCGTTGGTTGTAGAGATTCGTTGTCGTCGACAGACTGCTTCAAAAAGGCGGGAACCGTTGCTTGTCCATTAACAGAGGTGAGTAGATTTATTTAATGCGACAATGTACTTTTTTTTTATCTTTTCTTTGTCGATCCCTTTCGAACCGTTGCGACGACGCACGACTTCATCCATCCGCATCACTTCTATATATAGAAACGTGGAGAGAGAGAGAGAGAGAGAGAGAAGCACGCCGTTTAGCATCTCTATACTAATTTTTTTTCTATACTATAACCGTAGCGTGTATAACGTATATCGTTTTTAGACAATTTATAGTAGAAAGACACCGAACGTTCGTGAAAACATGGTTGCAATATTTCCAATTTTCCCACAAACATCTATTATATATAAAGAAACGAATATAGTCCACGTCAGATATATCACTTTGATGATGTTTCGTATCTATAGGAAAACAAAGATGATTAAAGGAACCGAGATGATGATTGAAAGTTTTGACCAACACGCGTTCTTACTTTATATCACGAAAGGATACACATCAATGCTACAAAACTTGTACAACTTTCTTCTTAATATTCAAAGAACGGTGTTGCAGAGACGAGAGAAATTTTAATGAGATTCTTTTGATATATTTCGAGTGATGTTGAGATATTGTTTAAATTCTCTCTCTCTCTCTCTTCTCTCCTCTTCTCTTCCCCTTTTTTTGAATCAATAAATGAGAAAACTTCGATGAGTGTTGATGTCTTCTCCAGGGACACAATCTATCATACGAACCTAACTGCGTATAGATAACTGTGTACGTTCTATGGGGAGTCATTAACAAAGTTGATGCCTGATAAACTTGTTTGATAGTTGAATAATCTACTTTTTATTGTTACGGAGTATATCAATAATTTCGAGACATTTTCATTCGTTGGGAACAATTAAGGATATATAAATAAATGGAAATAGCATTTAAAACTGCACAAATCTTACTTAATGTCTTTCCGCAACGTTTAAGTACATATATCACCCCCTTTAGGATGCAATTTAAGAGAGAATTTTACTCATCCCTTCTCTTTCTAACTTAGAAATTTTCTTCGTGCAAGAGACTTCGGCTTTGACATCCCAACTTGGGATTTCCAGTTAATACCTGCCATAATCTTAATTATTGGGAAAATGAATCGCTATTTTTGGAAGGTCAAAGTTTAAATTTCTTTCTTATTAATCGGAACGGTAATTTAAAAAACACAGTTTCGAATGCGTATTTGACATAGGTTTCTGGTGTTTTACGGTGCTTCCCACTCTTCCTAACTCACTGAAAATACATATACATCATTCAGGATGTAGTTTAATCACATTTAAGTGATGGAACCTCTCGTTTAACGAGTTAAAATTTTTGAAATTCTGAAAATTTAACTCTTAAATTGAAAAATGTAGACGTTTACTAACTTTTATATAGGGAAAGAACTAAATATGTGAAAATCAACTCTATTCCAAAGCTTAGTAAGAACTCTAACAGGTTAAAGGTCATATTTTCTGTTAACGAAATCAAAATTTAATACCAAATTTTACATAAAATCTCTCTAAGAAGTCAGCAAACAACATGAAAACTGAGTAAATAATAATTGAAAGAGACGTAAAATAAGTGTTTTAAAGCCTAAAAATTATACAAATTTTTACAAATTTAAGTTTATTTTTATCGCCGAAACATTATTATTTTTTTTAATTTATATAAAAAAAATTTTTACTATAAATTTTATTACAATAACTACTTTAATGGTATTTTTAAACGAGATAAAAAAAAAACATTTTGAATTTGTTTAAAGTTCCGGATTGATCACACGAGATAATTTTAATCTTAAATAATTTTTAATTAATTATATAAATGTAATTAAACAATTACCGTTAATAAGATTAAACGCGTAATATAATTAAGTCGCGTAACAGAAATTACACGTTGAAGATCGTGTACTCGATTGTTTGATAGACAATTTGGAGTAACAACGGTAATGGTTTATCAATCCTGAATTGGAGAAAGTTAACCTCAACTATTACGGATTCTACGCTTATAAATCTAATAAAAAAAAAGTAAAATATTATTTAAAAATAAAGCTAAAAACTTCAAGAAATTCTGCTTATCAAGTCGTTGTTTCCAACTATCGGATAAAGTTTTTATTTCTTAGATTGTTACGGTGCATCCTTGTTAGTAGCAGCGTGTTTTTTTGTTATATATTCTCTGTTATTTCAGTTACGAAATTCACTTTAACATTCGTAAATATTTAAAATATATATATATCAAGTAAAGAGTGAAGAGCATCGATTATTGATTATTCAATATCGGATATTCTCTTACGTCTCTTAATAATTATATCAAGTGGAAGCATTAACGAAAGTCGATACTCGATCAGGGACTGTATAACTCTTTACTCTCTTCCTTCCTTAACCATGGAAATTTTAATTAGCATATCATCTCGCTTAATGGGATTCTAAGCTAATGCTCTTCTCCATATTGAAAAAATAACAGTTATATTTCATCATGTAGCATTGCATCTTCTCTTCTTTTCTTATAAATTGCTTAAGTCGTTTCGGGTTTTTTTTATACTATAATTTTATATATGAGAATTATATATAACTCTATTTCTCTATTAAATATTTAAAAAAAATAAGTAAAATACTGTTTAAAATTTTTAAATAATCCCTCGTTTCCTTGTCGAGGTGGAATTGTGCATCGTTTTCACTTTCTACTTGGCGCTTTATTTGTAAATTATGAAATTTTTAAGTCGTTTTTCTGTCTTATTTCTAGATTTTAGCCATTATAAAGGGCTAAAATTAGTTAAAAATTCGTCATATAATTCTAATTTTTGTAAAAATTGCCACTTACACTTGGCGTTAGGAATTTTTTAATGCTTCTTTTTAACAGTTTAACTCTTTTAAAGTGAGTAAAAATAGTTTAAATTCGTTTACTTGGCATTGAACGTTCATTTTCAATTATAAGAATTAGTTCATTCGTTGAAAGTAATAAGAATAATTTGGATCTTTGTTTAAAAGTCATATAAGCTCTTCAATTATATTTTGTAGTTGGCGTTAGACGTCCTAAACGTAATTATGCCATCATTAGAGGTAGCATCTCTTTTCCCTCACCTCTCGAGATTAAATACGTCATTCGGAATTTATAGAAATAGTAGAAGGCAACTCTCGGAGGAGAATATTCAGTTAAACCACGTGCGAGGGGTCGAGTAGGCTCTCGTGTTTGATCAGTTTTAACGTTAAGGCACATTGGTCCCCCTCTGTAAAGATCGATAGGATGTTTGTTTCTACACCAACCATTGTAATATCTGGCATCACTTGTTAGTGTGACGTTACGTCGGCATCTAAGCTGATTAGAGCTACAGACAACTGGATTAGAGAGACCCGGATTACTAGGTCATTCCCTATCAGATACGGGCGAAAACAATGAAGATTGCTAGTGTTACGTTTGGTTTAGTTACGCACGATTCTTTCTCTACATTGCTACGTCGTTATAACGGTGTGGGAGAAGCTCTAAATGGGATTCTCGATCGTAAATGCCCCCAAAAATGATAGGAAAATAGCCCGGGAGCACGTTTAGATAGATGTTATCTGCGAGTAGGAGGGTGGAAAACTTCCAGACACAAAATCTCTGCGTGGTCTCTTTAAACTTACATGAATATGAGGAACCACCTAGAGAGAGACGTCCATAGATCGATTGATGTCGTAAGAAAGTCGTGTCGGATGTTGTTACCTTCCCCATTTTTTCCCTATTTTATTAATTTTTCACCCCTTCTACAAATCTCTTCCTCCATAAACCAATTGTTTCCACTAGCGACCAGCCTACCCCCGNGTGATTAAATCTCATTCATAATTTTCAAAACTATGAGAATATTTTTTAATATTAGAAATTTATAGATTTTATTATTTATATTATAAAATTTTGAAAATATTCATTTAAAAGTTAAAAAAATTCTTTAATAATTTTTATGCAAACTAGTTTACAGTAATGTAATTCAAGTTGGAAAAGAATAAATTAATGATATTAGTTTTTGTTCACCACTATTTTCTCAAAATAATATATATATTTAATCTATAATAACTTATATTCTATATACCAATAAAGTTATAACTTTTTAAAAATAATATATTATTTAGTTTACAGTACCAACTGTCTTGTTGCACATTCTATGCATAGTATAGAAAATCCGATATCGCAACCTCTTTTTTATGTTAATATTGCTGATATTGAAACTTTACAAGATGAAATGTTTTATATTGCTTGTGAGTATTCATATATTTAAAAAAACTCATTTATATTAAACAAACTATGAAAGATTATTATATACACTAAATATTTTGTTTGTTTTATAGGTACAACAGAAAAAATTTTTGAATCCAAGACTCATTTATATGATCTTTACATTGATAACCATAATTTAAGAGTTTCAAATCCAACCTTAAAACAGTTATTGAATTCAAATAATAGTGATAAAATTAAATACAATGAATTATGCAAAATAAGGTAATAAATTAACAAAATAATTTAGTTTTTGTTTTATATATTTTAAAAATTGTGTTATATATCTGAGAAATTGTTTTAGAACTCTATATAAGGCATCTGTAAATGAAAATTGTGAAAATAATGGTCAAGAAGTATGGTTTACTGGGTAAGTTTTAAATTGTGAATTAAATTAGACTATTTTAGGATGAAATATTATTAATAATTATTTGATTCTTTGTTATTTATTTATTGATTATTAATATATAATTGTGAAATATATAATAAACTTTTATACACTGTAATTAATTGTTACCAATTTTAGAGATGATATATTGTAAAAATTAAAACAAAAAATTTCAATATTTTTTATTATTATTTGAATGAAAAAATTTGTATTTATCTGTGTTTTAGTGTGAAATTAGTGTTTTCCAGTTAGATATTCTTTATCTCACAAGTCAGTCAGACTCAAACAGTGGTCTAAACCTCAATAATTGAGCTGAGTGATGAAGCTTATTTCTTTACACTCAAATATTGTTATATTTAAGTAAACTCCTTCAAAACCACTCAATCAATCCCAATCAAGTTTGGTATGGATATCAAGTCCAGGTCAGTGAATGTTATAAGCTATTTGGAATCCTGATCAGATCTTGTCCTCAAGGAATATCATGAAAAAATGCTGCCTTAGATTTAAGTTAGGATTTTTGGTGCTTACAAAGCACATGCAGCAGTTCAATTCTAAACAAAAACAAACATGTCACTCAGTTTTTGCTTGACATTCCTCAAGTTTTAAACAATTTAGCATGACAGTTGAGTATAAATTCCAATTACAACAACTCTATTTATATGTTTGTCAACATTGCTGGCATTTGAAACACTGAATAAGCTCAAAAGTGATTATATATGAACTGAATTAAGTCATTCTGAAGCAAATTTTGAAAGGAATTGAGTATCCACAATCAGCCACTAAATTGGATATCTTTGCTTCTATTTTGAAACACACTAAATAAACTCTAAATTCAAGCATAAATGTTGCTCAACTCAATTTGAAAACAATGAATGTAATCCTAATTAATGATATGATGTGTCTTGTCTGAAAGGTTATGTTGTGGAATCAGGGTGGAAAGTGACAATATTCTGTTACAATTAGCTGACAAAAAGACATTTTTTTCTATAAGTTGTCAGTACCTAAAAAAAAAAGTTTAATTGATATATATGCAGAAAAGGTTTCTTTATGTTGGAAAAAGAGCTCTCATCAGATCCCACATGAATAATTACACTACCAATATTACTACATTCAACTTTTACCAGTGGGAAAGAGATTATTGGGACACTTAAGCAAGGTTTCATTGCTTCAACAGCAAATGACGACTGTTTCTCTGGATGAGAGTCAGAGGCACAAAAACAGTTCAATCATGGCATGTGTGCATTGTGTGCATAGATTAGTGGAAAGATTTTCTGAGAGTTTAGGTGGAACCAATAATCTGGAGGATAATAGGATAATAACAAAAAGAAAGAGAATTGATGTGACTTTAGTCTGATAAACATCTTTGTATAAAAACATTTCTGGTTGATCTCAATTATTTTTCAAATTCTGTTGTTACAAGTATTTAGGCAATAGAAAGGGGCCAAGCTTTTTCATTTGTTTGTCAAAGTCAGTTTTTAATTTTTAATATTTATTCACTGTATAAAGGGGAAGAATGATGACAGTGTTGTTATTTCCTAAGACAATCATGATAATGACAGGTTTCTGTTAGCAAGAAATTAAACTTAAACGAAAAAAAATTGTTTTCAATTGAGGAAAAATACAATATATTTATGATATTCTAGTTGACATCACACTGACTTTGGTAGCTAAAACAGAAATTTTTCTTCAGTTTATGTCAATAGTCTAACATTTTATTCAAGAGAAAAACTATATAAATTATAAATTTACATATTCTTTTTTTGCAAAAAATGTTAAACCTTTAACTGTTGACACAAAGGAAAAAAATTTTGTTTTAGCTACCAGTCTCAAAGTTAGTATGATGTTAACTGGAATATCAAAATTCTTAACACAGTTGATCATAAACACTATTTAATGACTACAATATCTCTTATGAATTCTATGCATGAAGACAATTTATTTGAGAATATTATGTAGCTACTAGATTTGATTGAAAGTAGTTGAAGAGAAAATATTAAGATGAGACAGAAAAGACCTCAAATCAAGTAAGATAATTTATGTTAGTTAAATAAATAATTGTGATTTATTATGAAAAAATTTCAAAACAGGTTAGATAAATTAATTAATTTATTACATTGTTAAAATATTTAATATACTCTCATTGGCAAAAGTTATGCACCAAAAAGGAGGCATTGGAATCAAATGAAAATTTATTATTATGAGCATAATGATATTGGTAGTAAGTGATTATATTATAGCAAAAGGATAATTTCCTATGTAACAATGGTACAATTTAAAAGAACTTTTAGTACCTTGTAGAATCTCCTTATGCCTAATTACATGTGGCAATACACTCAAGCATGGAGATATTATAAACACTGTATGCTATCCTGTGACAGACTTGCCCATAGGTGTTACAACTGGCACTCTATATCCCAAAGCTGGTATCCCATCTGATTCTAGGACCAACAAATTTAAATACCAGGCAGGCCAAGGAAGTATGGCAACATGGTGGAGACATTCCTGGGAAATCTTAGCTGTATGTATTCAAGCATTATATTCCTGCAAAATAGCTATTGAGAGGACAGGATTTCCTGAATGTATTGCTGTGCTGTCAATGCCTTTTACACCAATATTATAGGTGACAGACTGCCATATGAGATAGTCCCAAAACCAACATGCCAGCAGTAGGAGCAATGTGCCACTCAACAGGAAAAGTGGGATCGAAGCACAAATGATCCTCCAAATTCTGATATAATGGTCAACTGTCCCCAAACAGAACCCAGATTTAAATTTTTAAGCTAGTCTCTGATGTAGCTGATGATATCTCTGATAAGATAATTCTTCATATAAAATTACATAAAGATTTCTTGAAATCAAAAATATCTTTACTATATTTTTATTGTACAACCTAGTACAGATTTTAAATTTAATTTTTATTTAAATTTTAAAGAGATAAACCAAAAGTAAAGCGTAAGTTCAGCATCTTATCGACGATAACGGCGGATATTCACTTGAATTCCGTAAGAGAAACAAACTAATTGAACAATAATAACTTATAATTCCGTACTTAAGAACTTAATTAATTTTAAAAATTAATCTAGTAATTGCTTCACCAACGTTTTAACTATGAATTTATATGCAGAATCTAAAATATATTTTTTTAATCTCTGGACGATTCCGCACAGAAATAAAACAGTTTCCCTCCGCATCCAAGAAGAAGAAGCGAATTTGTCGACTGAATTATTTAATAAATTGTATAAATATTTTAATGTATCAAAAAGAGTAACATCTTAAGAAATTTGATTAACCTCCTTTCACATTTAACTACATCTTCTAACTGCAAATGTTTATTAATTATTAAGATAATTTAAAAGAAAAATCGATTTATCTTCCGCTTTATTCTATAATTTAAGCGGGAGAAGTTGTTTTATAAATATGTTTCTTGATATAATTCAGTTCTCATCCCGTTTTCTGGCTCTTTTCTGTATTTAAGCCTAGGTTAGGATACGTGGAGAGAAGAGGAAGAGATCAAAAATGGAGTGAATTGGAAGAAGGATGATCTTTTTATCCGCTTGTTTTATTCAAATATAATCAATCTGTCAACCACTTAATGATAATGCGAGGTCAGAAGTAAAAGAAGTGAAGTGAAGGCGGTTGTCTGCAGGCTATAATTCCGAGAAACGTCTTACAGAAAAACACAATCAACTACTTAATGACGTGCAAACATCGAAGGGATCAGTCCAAAGACAATAATGGCGCTAACTAAGTCGGATTAATCTCGTTTAGTATACTCCAATAGCCGTTTGCATCTTCTCTTCTTTCTTTCGATTGTGATTTTAATATTTGTTTTCTGGCAAAACACGGCGGAAAGCTTCGACTAATTCTTTTCTTCTTCTTCTTCGTCATTTAATAGAAAATTATNATTATTATTGCTGATAATTGTTATAAAAGTACATTTGTTGACAATTCAAGTATTCATATAAGATTTTTTATTGAAATAATTCAATATAAACAATATTTACTATGCAATAATTAAAATAATGGAATTTATTTTTAGTTTGAATTCATAACATTTCTATAATCTAGGTAAAATTTTTTTTTGTGTAATCAGTTCAAAAATAATGTTATATAAGATACTTCATATTAGAGACATTATTCATAAAATTGGATTTGTTCAAATATGAATGAATTTATTTCAGAATATTGTATTATAATCTGAAATATTTAATCCTGTTCATTATTTAATATAGAAAGTGAGTCAGAAAAGCTCATTATTAATAAAACGCTTTATATATATACAGTATTATTTTGTGATTTTGTAATTATTGTACATATTTAAAATGTGTATATTTTATATTATCATGTATTCATGTAATAATTTCAATATGAACATTCCATTCTTTATATACAGTGTAATTAAATATTTTAGTTATTAGAATAAAAATGTTAAACTATCAGATGTTATTATTTTTATTAGAGAAATGAAACTAATGATCTTACTTATATTTTACTAAAAGAAAAATAATTGTGTATTAATAGAATATTTTATTATTATAGTCTGTATGATCACAGTTAAAGTTTTCAAAGTGCTTTATGTAAATTGCAGTGTTATATAAGTAGATTTGTATTATAAAAATTTATGTCTAGGTCAAGACAATAAATAAAAATAAACAAAGAAAACTTTTCTTCTTCAATGAAGTATATAAACGGGTAATTAAAAATCATCTTTACAAATAAAGAAAATTTATAAATGCTTGAATCACTTTTCTTATCTTGAACTATATTTTAACAACATAGAGAACAACAACTATAATGTTTTCAGCTATATAATGATTCTATTGAGAAAATAAAAGAATTTCATAATATATATAAATATAAATTAAAAGAATAATTATAACGAGAATATACATGAGTCATTAATTTCTTTATTGCTGTAGATGATATTGAACTGTCAATTTCAATTCACCTATTTTGATTATTCTATAAAAATATATATAAATCTTAACATTCTAAACAAAAGTAATT